TGAGATTCGAGCCGGACAAGAAGGATCTTCAGACTGCTGAAGAGATTGGGGCCATTGGGCAGCAACCGAGGAGTACGAGCCTGTTCCTAGCAAATGGGCTGGAAGAGAGCAGTCCCGGGGTCATCTGTTAAAATTGGAAAGATATAGTGAAGATTACCATGGCCCCTGCGCAACGATAAAAAAAAAGACACCCCGCCAGATCATGCAGAGGGTAGGATGTGGAGTGTCTTCAGCCTTTTGGAAGTTTCGGGCTGGCGGCAGCACGTTGGGTTTGAAGACGCAACAAGCCTCCTCCGTTTTCTCACAGAGAAGAATTTATACCATCGAACTCTGATAGTGCAGCGACCCCCATGTGTCTGTGTCTGGAACCTGGCCTCGACAACAACCTGTGGTATTTAAACCCCTAGTACCTTTGCCGTCGGGTTTCGACAAATTTTAGCCTACAGTCCAGTTGATGTGGCTCAGTGGTTAGAGCAGTGGTTGGAAATGCGCATTGTGGTATGAGGTTGCGGGTTCAAAACTCAATTGCAACCTTGCGCATGGACACCGGCAGGGCATTAGATTGGCGCACGGCTGCACACACTCCCTTGGGCTGACGCATGGTACTATTACAGGCACTGCCTGCGCACCACCCAAGGGTTGTTCATGGTGTTGTGTGTTGGTTGGTTCTGGGTTTCACATGGCTTGCTTGGGGGTGTTGGTCTTGGGTGTTCTGTTGATCTACCCAGTCTGGCATATCACACGTTCATGCCATTTCCACTAGCCTTTCACATGGTAGAGTCATACGATTACATGTTTCAAGGTCACGGGTTCGAGCTTGGCTCGGATCTTGGGGGGGTCGTTGTCCAGCTTACTCCGTTCTCTCTTGGATATACACAGATGATGCTGCCTATACATCTCGATACATTGATTCACAGCGCACACACAGACTTCGGGCATATACATAGCTTGCGAATTATACATGGCCTACGGGCTACATACACAAGTTTCCACATATAGTGCTGTCTGTACATCTCGTATCAGATTCTGTGGTAGGGACAGGTATGGGCCACCGGCGTTCCTCCTGATATTTGGGTAGAACTGTCTAGTGGCTATATATAAGGCTTAGACCCTGGGGTAAGGGTAGGGGTATAAGTGGCTCAGGCCAGTCCAAGTTCCGCCTGGCCTTGGGTAAGCTAGGCGAAGGACGGTAAGACTGCTTCAATGGGTGTTACCCTGTCTGAAACCTAGGCCCCAGAGTCTCTTGGGGCCTGTAGTAGATTGTCTGGGTCTGGCGTTCGAAGTTCCCGTTCGACAAGGCTCGTCGGCTTCCGCTTCCACCAGGGCTGGGCAACCTATCAGCCCTGGTGCCTATCACTGCTGTTGGGTCCAAGTTACCTGCCCATTGGTAAGGTAATGGTCCTGAGTGCTGGTCACACTGAGGTAGGATAGTGGGATAGGGGGTGCACTAGGAGTATTGACGTGAGGATGGGATGGGAGGTGGTCTCATATTCCAGGACACCCACGGCCTACTGCTCCAGGTGATCACTGTGTACTCAGTGACTGGCCTCTACAGCACCATGGACTTAAAAAATAAAAAATAAAAAATAAAAAACAATAAAAAATAAAAAAATGAAGAAAGTTTTAGCCTACAGTCTTCCCCCAATACGGTCGTTATAGCTCAATTTGGGTTATCTTTCAGTCTAAATTCAGCTACAATGATCGTATGTCTAGGCTACCAGCCGGGCCGCCCGGGTCACCCTATTTTCCCCCACGGCTCGGTCGTGCAAGGACCAGGGGCCTCGTCCCACTGCGTCCGATTTATGCTTGTGCTTCGCCGTTTTCAACCACGTGCGGCCGTCTGTGACATCCGTGAGTAGTTGATCATCTCACGTATCAACTGCTAGTGTGGATTGTCTTTGTTTTCGTGGATGCAGCTGCCCGTCGGACAGTAGAATCTTTTTTAAATCATTTGTTGGCCATGGAGTTGGCCACTTCGCGTTGGCGCGAAGCTTCAATACTATGGTTTTTTTAGGGGGGGGGGGGKGGTTTTGAAGCTTCGCGCCTTGCTATTTTTTTTTCGCAGAAATTGAGAATATTGAGATTTCCGTGGAAGACTGCGAACAGGCCGGCAGGAAGGTCGCATGCAGATGTACCGGGTTGGTGGAAGTGTGGATGCATACGTTGGCCTTGTTTTTCTTTGCATTTCTGAAAAATCAAAAAAAGGATTCTTTATATGTTTTTTTTTTAAAGAAACGGCCTCCACACACCGATTTACTCAATGCTAGTGGGTCCCGGCTCCAGGGAAGGTCCTAGCAAAAAAAAAAAAAAAAAAAAAAAAAAAAAAAGAACATCAAAAAAATCCCCAAAACAACTATCTTATGCATAAAAATAAAATGAACAATTTTGCCTCGGGGTCACATCGAAATTCTTTACCGGGTAAAAATATATATATATATCTATTTGACGATATATATATATATATTTACCATATTTAAAATAAAAATAAAGTTTTTTTTTTTTTTTTTTTTGGCCCTGCCGGGCAAGTGGCCCCGGGCCACTCTAGTAGCCTAGCCGTACCTTGTATTCTGGGGAAGACTGTAGTCCCCAACTTTTAGGAGGCCGGGACGGACAACGGCTGGGGTTGATAAATCTGATGGCGGCTGTCGTTTCTTTTCGGCCTTCTGAAAGGTCGGAGGCCCACTATTTTCCGAACCGACAGAGGGAAGGAAAGGGAAAAAACTAGTTGGGATTCTTGGGGAAGAGATGAGAGGTAAGGAAACAAAAATAGGAGGGAGTATCCAGCGGCCTAGCTCAGTTGGTTAGGCATGCAAGTGGCATTCAGGAGGTTGTGGGTTCAAGCCCCATGGCCGCCTGCGGCGCACTTAGTGCCAACGGACTGTGATAGTCCTCTCCTGTCTCTTATACACATCTAGATGTGTATAAGAGACAGTGTGTGTGGTGTGTGGGAGAGTGTTGGCCATAGCCTCTGCTGCTACTCGATGAAGGGTGGGGGACGATGAGAAAGGGAGGCACAGCTACTGGCAGGTGTCGGTCTTTGTGTTAGCCAGACCCCCACTGGGGGCCCCAACCCTATACCCTAACCATTAGGGGCAAGGGGCAACATGAAACCTCCCCTTCACAGAGAGTGGAAAACTATGCTTGCAGGGGTCCCCAATATTAAAAAAAAAAAAAAAAAATAGGAGGGAGAGGAGTGTGGGACTACCAGCACATGCACCACAGTTGGAAGTCCATATATCTGATCGTGGCAGCCTCCGACTGCAGGCGGATCACCCGTTCTCAGTAGTACGTAATTGACAGCCTCTTTTTTTTTTTTTCTTTTTTTCTTAAACAACGCCCCCACCAGTGTTAGTGCTGCTGATAAGAGCAGACACCACTAACACCTAGGGAGAGGCTCCATCTATTGGTGGGGAGCATCACCTGCTGGAAAACGGGTCCAGCCTCGTGTGCAGCCGATCACGATTGCGTCGGAGGGTTTTAACTTACCGTAATGTTACCAATTGAGTGTCTCGCCGCAGGGCACACGAAACGAAACCGAAACGAGTGCATCTGCGCACCGAATGTGGCAAAATACACTCGTCACTATTTATAGCAAACCGATGAACCTGTCCATTTTATGGGGGAAGATACATTCGTTTCGTTTCTCGTTTCGTGTGGCGTGCGGCAACGCCCTGAGTTAGGCCTTGAAAAAATGTGGCACTTCAAAGTTCAAACGGTCGGAGTTAAACTAAACCGGCTGTAAGCTAAACTGGCTGAGGCTGCCGGGATAACCCCGGGTTGAATTGTGAGGTCCCCGGCCTCGAATTGAATTGTGGAATTAAAACTTGGTTGTTAAAAAAAAAAAATAAAAAAAAAATGGACCCAAAAAAAAAAAAAAAAAAAACAGTTCAAACGGTCGGAGTTAAACTTTGCGGGTAGCATGTGAGGGATGAGAAGGAACCGGCTGGAAGCTGTGTAGCGGTTAGCATCGTCACCTGAAGCTTTGGTAGGACTGGTTAATTCAGAGGCTCTATATGCCGCTCTAACGGGCACCCATTGAATTTTGCCGTTTTTTGTGGGCATGTCATAGCTGTGTGAACCCGTCTCCTGCTGCCAGCACAGCTATTTCGGACACCATCGTTTTCTTTGAAAACTGAAAGGTTATGAGGCTGGGGGGTGCGGGCGGGGACTTAAAAAGGTCCTTACTTGTTCAGAGAGGAGGTCACTTTTACCGGGTCTAATGATCGTAGTTTTTAAGGGTTGGGGTAGGTATGTGTGTGTGTGTGTGTGTGTGTGTGTGTGTGTGTGTGTGTGTGTGTGTGTGTGTGTGTGTGTGTGTGTGTGCGTGCGTGCGTTGGCTCCGGTGTAGTATATATAGACAGAATGAGCGGACAGGGTAAGCTGGCTGAGTGCAATGTCTATGCGTCTTATATAACACACATTTCTTCTTTTTCTTCTTCTTCTTCTTCTCCTTCTTCTTCCTATTGTCTTGCCTTTAAACTTTTCTTCCAGAGAACCTCATGAAATCGTGTGCCTCCTATTTCAGAGTAGCCTTTATTGTCTCTCTGGAATAGCTGGCCCACTGTGTTTAATGGCTCCTTTCTACATGTGGGGAGTAGCAGGTGCTGGTAATTTGGGGCCCTTTGGGTCCAACGTACCTTCACAACAATCATCATCATCATCATCATCATCATTACCTTTCACACTCAGTCTGACCATTTGCTGCTGGCCATTTGACCGGACCACGTGTTTAATGGCTCCAAGCAATTCCGTCCCTTAGGTTGCTTTGCTTGTCTGTCTGACTCACTCTTTCTGTGCCTCCCTTCTTCCTTTCCCCTCCCAACCTTTTTTTAATTGAATTCTCTCTTCTCTAATTTGTTCGGTCGGGTGGCATCATCATGCCATCATGGCACTGCCACGCTAACTTTCTGAGTCCAGCCGTTGACGTCACGGTCTTCCTTGCAGTTCCTTCTTCTCGGTGTGCTTTCTATAATATGTTAGCATTTCGGTGCCATTGCCAAGTACTGCATCTGCAAGAGAGACAAAGAACGAGGCGGAGAGAACTGGCAAGCGTGGGTATTCTCTCCACATGCCATGCCATGCCATGCCATGACATGACATGACATGACATGACATGACACGACATGACATTGACATGACATGACATGACATGACATGACATGACATTGACATGACATGAAATGACATGGAAGTGCATCGTCGTTGGCGGCATGCGAGAGAGAGTAAGCGATGCACAGAAGCTAGCCTAAGTGTGTGACAGATTCACAGAAGCTAGCTAGCCTAAGTGTGTGACAGATTGACAGACTGGAGGCCGAAGGAAGACAAAGCATCCCCTTCATGGATGAACCGAACCGGAAAGATAGCTTGTATGCGTTCATTATGAAGGTGCGTTATGTTCGAGGGAAGTCGGTATCATTTGCAGCAGCGGCCGTTGTGTAACGCATCTCTTCGAATCGTCCGACTGGCACGTTAGCTATACTCTCTTCCCCCGAACACAACGCACGCTACCTGTGTCACTGTGTGACTCTCTGGTGGTGGTGGTGGGTATGTCCGCAGGTAGTAGTCTAGTAATCCATATGGCTTCTGGCCTGTGGGGGGATGGGGGAACTTAAGATGGCTTAGGGGCAGATCCCACTAGCACCTATTGTTCATTTCTGAACGTTGATCTTCGTAATCGCTGTCTCTTATACACATCTAGATGTGTATAAGAGACAGCTCTGGTGGTGGTGGTGGGTATGTCCGCAGGTAGTAGTCTAGTAATCCATATGGCTTCTGGCCTGTGGGGGGATGGGGGAACTTAAGATGGCTTAGGGGCAGATCCCACTAGCACCTATTGTTCATTTCTGAACGTTGATCTTCGTAATCGAGGGTGGAAAATGAATAAGCCAGGGTAGTGGGATCTGACGCTTAATGTGAATGCGGCAAGAAGAAGAAGGTGGTGGTCCCCACCATCCCCCTGATGAGGGACCTAGTCTTTCTGTGGATGGAAGCCGAAACCCGTCGGACTCTGGGAAATGTCGTCGAATGCTTTGTTTCACTAGAATTACTAGTATCACCCCCTCTAGAAGACAGATAAGGCTTTTCAAAAAAAAAAAAAAAAAAAAAAAAAAAAAAAAAAAAAAGAAGAGTCACTTGACCATTGAATTTCGTAATGATGAGAGAGAAGTGGAAGCTAGGGGTCCTTCTACCATGATTCCAGAACTTCTGCTCACTACTACTGAGAAGGGCTTAGGTGATCATTTCTGAGTTAAATTAAATGTTGTGTGCTTCCGCTTACTCTCCCTCCCTTGGTAGTCAGGAGAGAGACTTTTAGTGGGGGTGTCATCATCTGTTTGTGGGGAAGGGGCAAAAAACCGAATAATAATATAATACCGTAATACAGGGGGTGGGTGGTGTAGAAGAAGTCGAAGACTCTGAGTGAGAGGGAATTTGAACAGAAGGGGGGATTCAAAGTAGACCACATACGTAGTACTACGGTAGTACTATGTATACCTTATTGAGGACTGTTCGGTCGATTTGCCGACTAGGGATCCTGGGTTGCGTGTGGTGTGCCGTTTTTCTCGTGCTTCTACGATTGGGATATCCTCTACGATTGAGATCCACGGAGTCTGCGACAGCTTTGCCGTTTTCTGGCGCGTTCCCCATGAGCGGCGCTTCTTTGTCAGAGGCTTTCGGACTCAGACCGGAGGTTCAGCCCTCCCTCTGGTCGGGACAGAGGCTTGCTCACCGGCCTGTGGGTTACGTCGAGCGAGTTCTTCGTGGCGCCACCCGCCCGCTATGGCCCCACCAGACCCCACAAGTGCTGCTGGTATCTGCAAGTCAGCCCCGCTGCAGCACTCCTCGCGGCGATAACCACATTGTCAAGTCCCTTAAGAACAAGGCCGATTACGCAAGGAAGCATGGCTTCGCCACGTGGTTCTCGATGGAGGGGTTTGTAGACCCCCCTTATCACCCCCCTTACCATCATCGTCTTCGAAATAAGGTCATGTTGTTACGTCACCTGTTGCGCACGCACAGCAAGCATTACGATTGGCTGTTCTGGATCGATTCTGACGCCATAATCACCGACATGAGCTTCAGGGTACCCTGGGACGACTACGTCTTGCACGGGTACAGTGTGGTTCTTTGGGGCAGTCCTTCCGGCCTCGACTCCGCTCCCAGCTACCAGCCATCCTTGAGCACAGGGGTCCTCTTGCTAAGGAACGACCAGTACTCGAGGGAGTTTTTGGAGGCAATTGTACAGCTTTGGGGGGAGGGGGAGGGGGAGAAGTACCGTGATGATGGTGGTGGCAATCGCACGGCCGGCGATTCCATCGAAGAGGAAGTCACTGTCACTGACAGGCGGATGGTGGCCGGCATGCCGTCGTCGTACCTTCTTTCGGATCAGTCCAGCGCAATCTACCTGCTGGCCACTCAGAGAGAGCGATGGCTGCCACGTGTCTTCCTCGAAGCCAGGTATCATATCAATCGGTACTGGCGGGAAGTGAGTCATGATCTGGAGAGGTACTACCAAAAGGGTGCATGGGTGGGAGATGGCTTAGACCCCCCTTTCATCGTGCATTTCTGCGGATGTGCGCTGTGCTGGCGGCGGGATTCCGCGCAGCTCGATGAGTGCCAGGCTCAGCACGAGCGCACGTTCCACTTCGCTGATGACCAGATCATCAAGGAGTTGGGATACCGGCATCGAAACCTGTCAACGCCGGAGATAGTCTCTCTCGACTGCCATCGAAGAAGAAGGGACATAGCTCGGTAGAGAGAGAGAGAGAGAGAGAGAGAGAGAGAGAGAGAGAGAGAGAGAGAGAGAGAGAGAGAGAGGAAGGAAGGAATGCCCACGGGTTTTTCTTGGATTGTTTTAAATTTCCGTTTTCTTCTTTCTTCTTTTCAACTCCAAAGGTACTGTAGTGTAGTAGTTGTATTAAAATCGAAAAAAAAAAGAAAAAAAAAATCAATCTTGGAACGTGGCCTGGGGCCAAGTCCCACTTACGCTGATTCTTCATTTCTGGGCGTTGATCTTCCTAATCTACCGTCAGAAGTTGAGAATTAGGGTCCCAAGTGGAACTTGGCCGCTGGCGGACTTTGCCAGTTTTTTTTTTTTTTTATGTTGTGACCAAGCTCTCTCATCTCCAAAAAAAAAATATTATTATTATTATTATTATTATATATTTTTTTTATATTTTTTTTTTAAGTGTGGTCCGATGGACCACGGATCAGATATTAAACTGATCAGAACAGATATTACACTTGATCTCACTTAGCCAAAAGGCCGAGAAAGGTATATCTCCACATTTTTAAGCTACCTTCTTCCCTTTTTTTTTTTTTATGTTGTGACCAAGCTCTCTCATCTCCAAATTTTTAAGCTTCCTTCTTCCCGCCGAATACAACGTACGGTCATTATAACTGTATTTGAGGCATCTTTCAGTCTCGATACAGCTATAATGACCGTACGTTGTATTCGGGGGACGAAGGTAATGAATACCAATGGAATTTTATGATTCAAAGAAAATCATGCCAACAAAACGGTAACAGCTATTAAATTTATAATAATACCTTGCCTACCGTTTTTCTTTTTCTTTTTTTTCTTCTTCTTTTTCTTTCGAAAGGCTTTTTTTTTCCTTCTTTTTCTTTCACAACCTATGCAAATTATGCTGGCTCCCATCGCACTTAGTGCCAACGGACTGTGATAGTCCTCTGGGCTGAGGTCCCATTAGCAAAAAGGATAGGATCGAGCTCCTGAATCTGGATTTGCTTGAAGCACAGATGCAGAAAAGCAGTTCAATCCCGATTTCCTACACATCTCCATAAACTCGTCCACATTCAGGCATTCGATCCGATCCTCTTTGCCAGTGGGACCACGCCCCTGGATACCCCTGATCGGTATTAGCGGGGTCTATGACCAACACGGGTGTGAGTGTGAGCGCGAGTGGGTTGTGTGTGGTGTGTGGGAGAGTGTTGGCNCTGATCGGTATTAGCGGGGTCTATGACCAACACGGGTGTGAGTGTGAGCGCGAGTGGGTTGTGTGTGGTGTGTGGGAGAGTGTTGGCCATAGCCTCTGCTGCTASTCGATGAAGGGTGGGGGACGATGAGAAAGGGAGGCACAGCTACTGACAGGTCTCGGTCTTTGTGTTMGCCAGACCCCCACTGGCGGCCCCAACCCTATACCCTAACCATTAGGGGCAAGGGGCAACATGAAATCTCCCCTTCACAGAGAGAGGAAAACTATGCTTGCAGGGGTCCCCTCTAGATAGTCTTAGGAGTAGGTGGTGGTAGATGGTAGAGATGGAGAGAAACGAGCACAACGGATCATGCACGACGACTCAACGAAAACACATAATCGCCTCTAGATAGTCTTAGGAGTAGGTGGTGGAAGGTAAAAGAAACAGAAGTTGAGAGAAGAATGAGAAAGAAAGAAAGAAAGAAAGAAAGAAAGAAAGAAAAGAAAAAAAGAAAAAAAATCTGACACCAACAAAAAAAAGAAAAAGAAAAAAGGTGGCGCGACCGGCTGCTGGGGACGGAAGGCACGCGCCGAAGCTACCCTAGCCCACTGCCGGCGAACCGCCGCACTGCGTCGATCGGCAACTTCCGGTCCCTACCCGTCTCCGCCCGAATAGAATGACCGTAACGTACGTACGGTCATTCTAGCCGTGTTTGGCTCACGCTCCGTACGTTCTATTCGAGAGAAGCAGGGCAGGCGTCAACAGAGATCTTCAACGGCGACGCCGCGCCATCGCTATCGCTATCGGTGGTGAGCTCCTCCGCGAGTACCGGGGGGCCGCCAGGCGTTCTCGATCCCCCTGACCGTTTTTTTTTTTTTTTTTTTACTTCGCTTGGTGTTAAAAGGACCCCTGACCGGTTTCACAACGCTCGTATAATCTTGGAGACTTCCTACCTTCTTCCCTCCAATACAACGTACGGTCATTATAGCTGTCTCTAGACTGAAAGATGCCTCAAATACAGCTATAATGACCGTACGTTATATTGGAGGGAAGAAGGCAGAAGCTGCGGACGCTACTAGAAGGGGAAGCGTCCCAGACGGACTCCTTTGCAAGATGTGGCGTTTGCTCTATCAGGTGCAGGGCCCCACCCCTCTAAGCGAAACTGGGTGACGCTCCCAAGACGAACTCCTTTTCGGGCTACTGTCTTCCCCCGAATACAACGTACGGTCATTGTAGCTGAATTTGGTTTATCTTTCAGTCTACATTCGGCTATAATCACCGTACGTTGTATTCGGGGGTAGACTGTAGACTGTGAGCACCCCGGCCTCGATAAACCATTGGTGCAGGGCCCCACCCTGTAAGCGAAACTGGGTGACGCTCCCAAGACGGACTGCTTTTCCGGCTAGACTGTGATCACCCCGGGGCTAGGGCCCACTTACACGAATTAAGAGATATTGACCGTAGATAGCACAGATCAACGCTCAGAATCTCGTAATCTGTGCAAGTGAGACCTTGCCCCCGGCCTGGATAAATTATTGGTTGGTACTGAAGTTTCAGTTGTTTCGGGGGAAAAAGAAAAGAAGGGGAAACTGCTCCTGAGTCACAGTTCTAGTTTGAAATAGTCAAGAAAATCCAGCGGCCTATCTCAGTTGGTAAGGCACGCAAGTGGCATTCAGGAGGTCTTGGGTTCAATCCTCATTGGCCTCATGTACCTTCCTGGGCAACCTTGGCGCCCGCCACCTAGAGATATGCCGTTGGTTCCCCCGAGTGGCATTGAGCAGAGACTGCTGATGTTCATAGGGGGAGGGGACCGGAGGGGAGGCACAGTGACTGGCCCATCGAAGAAGCTCGGTCCTGATGCTACCGGCTGACCCCTGGCTGGTATCGCCCACCTGCTGTAGCAGGTATCGCACCTGCTACTGGTGGGTGCAGCTCCCGCATGTTCCCTCGTTGGAGGCTTGAACACGGATGTGGCTGCTACGGGGTTCCCCGTAATACTATAATGACAATAAAAAAAGGCCTGAAAGGCCGTCCTGTCCAGATTTGACAGGTAATTGAATTGGTTGGGCTTAAAAGAATTAGCCTTTAAAAAAGCAAAAAAAAAGAAATAGTCAAGAAAAGACAAAGTGGTGCTGATGTCATTGTTCGAGTTCCAGAATGTGCAAGTTTAGCGGGGGGTTGTTGAAACTGTGACCGTTTTTTGTGCCCCAGGGCCCTGGACCCATTAGCGAAGTATTCTACCACTTCGTTCAGGATTTCGATCACGTGTGGCCTCGAGTGACACAATACGGCCGTTGAATAGATCGGATCTCGAAGGCCTGGTAGTTTCCGAGCGGGGACTGTAAAGATGCCCACCTCCCGTCCAATGAGATGCGTCGAAAAACAAAAAAAAAACAAAGTTGGACTAACTTGGACATGATAGCTTGTGGCTTTGCGTGGGCGGGAAGACTGGATTTTATGGGCTCTAAAAGGGGGGATGTTGATTTCCAGACTTCGTTTTTTTTTTTTTTTTGGCTCTGAGAAATAGAACTTGAAATGTGAAATTCAGATATCGTGGTGGATCTGACAGGAACGCTTCCGTGTCTGTCGGATGGCCTGTTAGAGGCATCATGAGATACATGGGGATGAATGTATCCCTATAGCCATTACTTGTTCATCCTCGTGGCTGTGTTCGTGGACACATGTTATTGCTATGGTACATCACTATGAAGACTTACGGAAAGGAGATCGTACCAACCCATGAATTTGGGTGCACAGCTGTTCTTCATAGTCTTATGTGCTATTTCAATTCATTTTAAATCAGAAAACGATCCATTCATGCAAATAAAAAATCACTTTGTATTTTTCAAAAAACCATAAAATTGCGCCACACATCGTAGAATACTTCGCTAGTGGGTCCAGGCCCCAGGAGCGGTTGCCCCATACTCGATATAGGTTGAGATCAGCTTCTGATCCCGCAGTGCGTAAAAGAAAAAAAGGATTGGAAGACAGCTGCTCAACTCCGGGACAAACTTCGGTACTGCCACCACATAGAGAAACATCTAGAATCCATAATAGAGGCAATCCCATTAGCCTGGTATAGGCTGCTAAGAAAAGGACCCACCCTGCAAGAGGGAGATTGGGTGGCCCTCCCAGATGACACTGACAGGATAGGCAGAATCCATGTAGTGCGACCAACAGACGCATTAGTAGAATACTATAGGATAAGAGCGGGGGACCGGCTCCTGGACTCCCGCAACCCTTTTGAGTGGCGGGACAACCCAGAGTTGTTCAGGGTGCGAGTGTTGGGAGAAGGAGAGGAAGCCAGGGTATTTCAGCCTCAAACACCCATTCACGAGCTAGCCATAGACCCAGAAGAGCGGCAATGGCAACCTGCGCGGAGGCCAGGGAAGGTTCCTGACAAGAAGCTCCATCTGCATAAGTTGTCTGTCCGCTCCATGTATAAGATGCTACGACCTAAAAAGCGATGAGGGATATAGTCATAGACAGATGGGCCAGGCACCTCAACTTCTGACGCCAATCAAATGGTTCGAAGAAAATAAGGTAAGACCAGCAAAAACAGCTTCCTTGCAGTGGCAGATTGCCCACCGCTGTCTACCAACGAACGCCTGGCTGATCAATCACACCTACCCGAACAAAAAGGAATAGCACTCCCATGGTGCCAGAGGTGCCTCACAACCTTCCCTGCACAAAAGTGAAATGAGACCATCGAACATATATTCATGCAATGTCCGGTAGCACTGCTGACATGGCGTCGTTGGTGGGACCGCATTTGGTGAAAGATGACAGCAGAAACACCCTGGCCATGGTCTTGGCAGGCTATACTGACAGGACATTGTCCGACGCTGGAGCAAGCATCCACCTTTGCAGACAACATGTTCAGACTGGGCAGACGAACAATATGAGCACTCTGGTGGCAGCGCTGCACCTTAGCACTGAACGGAGTAAGAGTGGAGGGCCCCGAGCTGGCAGGGCAGATAAAAGAGCTCATTGAACTAAAATTAAGACGAAGGTGGAACGAACTCAAAC